ATTTTACTTTCGCGAAATATATTTATAAATTATGAATAATACGAATCCGAATCACTATTCCACGGGAGAGCAAATATTTCTACTATTTAAGGAAGACGATTTAATTTATGTGGCTGCCTCGGCTTGCTTCGCAGTAGCGCGTCTTGTTAACCCTATTTCTGGCTCCATCTCACCCATGGATGGCTCGATATTTGCCTAAGGGCCTGATTTTTGAATAGATTATTTGCATAACATCGGTCCTTCATGGAACTCGACGAAAAAGTCTAACTCCAAAATTCGCTACAAACTGTCACTCTCTGAGCATACATCGCCTTCTCGACGATCACCTGCGGATTTTCCGATCCCCAGATGCAGCAGTTTCGTTTGTTAACATAGCCATCGATATGAAAATGCGCTTCGGCAGAAAATGGAATTTTGCGAGCAAATTTGTTGTCTAATAAATTTGCATCATTTCCCAACGTTGCTCAAGCGTTAGGCGATTAATTTCGTTTCGCTGAGATATGATATTGACGTTATGTCACTGTCAAAATAATATATGATTAAAAAAGTACTATATCGACCACCATTTGCATATCAATTTATACGGTGTTTACAGGAGGTGATTTTAGGGGCAACTTTTAGTAAGAAGCAACTATCACTAACTAAGCTGCCTTTCAATTAACCGCTTTCAATAAAACTGGTCGGCAGCAAACTTTTCATTCAACTAATCGCCCAAAAAATCGCCTCATGTAAACACCGTATAACATGTATTCCATTGCGACAACATTTAAATGTTTTTAAATTATTTAATTGCTCTTCACATTCACGATTACTGGCCAAGAATCGTTTCAAGTGTTTTATGTTGTTGAAACTGGAAATCCAAATCTTAACCACTAGCTGTCTAAATTGTGTCAAAATCTTCTCATTCGAGCAATTCAAGCTGTACCGAGCGTGGTGGGTGACAAGTGTGCGTATATACTTCAACAAATAAAAACTTCTAGATCTAACACCATTGTAGGAAACAAGAAACAGGATTTGCGTCAATTGGAGCGGATCATTTATGGATATAACAAACAAAAACAATCTCAAGTGGAACTTTTAGCATGAAAAAATTATGACAAAAATAAACTAAGAAGAAAATGAAAAATACTAAAAAATGTGGTTGTAGATTGAGTTACTACTTACTAAGTTTAGCAATAGTTAGTCGTTATAATTTTTCTGTGTAACGTTAGGCAAATTGTATATTTTAAAGATCTAGTAGTTTATTTTCATATTTATTTACATATGTATTTTTTGAAATTTATATACATACAAATGCACCCTAAATAAAAAAAAGTCCCTAGGCAAAAAACTGCTGATGCTGCGCAAGCAAAACAAAATCAGTCTTTAAAACTATTTTTCCATTCAACAATTTTATTGAGCTTGAGGCCGGTTTTAATGAAAATTTTTTGTGAAAAAAAACCACAATTTACATTTCTCGCCGACTTCTTCAACTGGGATCCAGCGACCCCAGCCGCAAGGCTTAACAAATGGAAAAGTGGAAAAAGCTGCTGGCTATTGTGGCTCGGGTTGTTGGATCAAATCCTAGTTGAAGAAGTCTGATGAGGAGATGTGGTGATCTTCGAAACAGCCATAACTTCAACCAAAAATGAAAATTGTGTGATTTTCGCAAAAAAATTTCAGTCTGCCTTATCATGAATATTTGGTGGAAAATTCAGAAATTATTTTGCGATTTTATATGTGAGAGAGGAAATTATTTTACAGGTGAATAGTATCCAGCTCTTAAGAAAATGGCCAATAAAAAAATTGCCAATATTTTGTCTGTGTGAGCAAGGAATTTTGACATCGGATATTTCAGAGCCTAGAGCCTCACTCTTTCCCCAAGAAATAACGGAAAGGACGTATTTAAACCAAAGAAAGACGGCAGAGTTGATCCGGATCAACTCGCTAATTCGGCAATTAACTGCCGTTGATCCGGATTACGTCCTGCAGATGATCCTTCTTAATGCGAATAAGGGGAAGCTTTTATCCATTGCTCAAGTAAGCAAAGTTTGGGCATCCCCAGTAGGCGAGTAGTGAGAGCTGCGTACTATCATTCCGTAGCACCCAGGTTCGATCCTCAGTTTCAGCCACTGCTAAATTTTTTTTACATATATTATTATTTTGTTTATTTATATATTTATTTTTTGCTTTAGTTTTCCATTATTTCACATTATTTATTTTATTATTAGTTAATCTAAATTTTCAAAGTTTAATTTTATTAAAAAAGTCCACAGCAACTAACTAAAGACATCATAAAAAAATTTATATGTAAGTTATAATTGAATGAACAAAAAAAAAACCTTAATTGAAAATTCTACTGGCAGTGCGACTCGAACCCACGATCCCGCGGCTCGTTAATCCGCATTACCGCCGTCTGTCAGGGTACAATTTTTATAATCGGTTATCCTCATCAACGTTACCGTCTGTCTATGCTATTATTACACTTAAACTCGGAGCATTTCGATTGCTGAAATAAATTCATATGTTGTGTATTTTTTGCAACTACACCTGATACGTGACTAAACGGTAATTGACAACAAAACCGCATTGCTATTTAAATATTTTTACCGACCATTAATTTGAGAAATTAAAAAAAAAAAATCAAGGTAAATTCTTTTTTTAAATCAATTATGAGTGTACTTCTGTTTTTAATAAATTATTGCATTAGTTTGCATTTCACAAATGGTTTAATAAATTAAGAAAACATTTAAGTGGACCATGCGCTTCTTGAATTTAAAATTTTAAAGGTTGACATGATTCCATTTACGGATTTTGAGCAAAAAGAGTTTTCATTGAGTTAGTTTACTGGCACAACGGTTTCATTTGCATTTTTAGGTAAATGATATGTACAATATATAGTATATATATACAAACATATGTATACTTTGTTCCTACATATGTAAATATACGCCTAGAAATTGATTCACCGAATTCTAAGTGGAATTGCATATGTATGTAAGTATGTATCATGCTGAGGCTGGATCTCTTTTCGGTGGTTTTGTATTTTTCTAAGCTTTCCGTTGCGTCAGTACAGCCTACAGAGCACCTGCAGAGTTGAATCCCATTCAAATGGAATGATTAATTTGAAAGTAACGAATGCGGGCAAATATGGACGGCAGACTAGCTCACACCTACATACATACATATGTATGTACTTAGTACTACCCAGCGAGCCGAGTGCAGAGTGCACCGGATATGAAAAGTGGAACTCCTCGAAGGTGCGCTGTCACCGACTAAGCGATTTTGGTCGAGTCCAATAGAGCACGCCAGTCATTTCTTTTCTGTGCCAACTGACGCCAATTGGAAATGCCAAGCGAGGCCAAGTTCTTCTCCTCCAGGGGTTAGATTCTGTAACTGTGGGAAAATGCAGTGTGTACCGAGTTCAAAACTCACAACCAAAAACTCACCGGATGAGATGCTGTGAGCTTTTCGGAAAGTTAAAACTCGTTCTCACACTTCCTAAATCGCGAAAAAAATAATAGAAAGTAGTTTTTATTAATTTCATAATTTCTCCGTTTGTTTTTCGTTTTTGTGAAGAATACTATGTAAAAACATTTTCTTTTTTTCATTTTAATTTGTTTTCTACTTAATAGAAAAAATATGATAAGGCATTTTGCAAGCACCATAATACCTCTTTTTCGGACAATTATCGGAGCACGAGAGCAATTCAAGAAAAAAAAATATACTCCATCTAGGTCACCTACGGCTGATTTACGGAGTCCTTTTTAAATAATCATAAGCGAAACCGAGGAGTCCGCGCAGAGCTTTTGCGGATTGTCTGAGTGAACTTTCTAGTACTCCAAACTCAAAGAGTCCTGCAGGCACTCAATTCTCCTCCTTAGGCGAGCCTGCTCCTTTGAGACTCTTTTCGTATCCTCCCCGGGAAGATAAGCACACAGGGAGTCTCCTACCTTGCGGACCCCGCGCGCCCCGGTTAGCTGGGTAGTTGAATGTATTTGAAAATAAAAAAAATGCATCTCTACAGATCCTCGTATAAAATGTGTATGTGTATTGTCTACGTACATACGTACATATGTATGTATATTCATTCGTACATACTTACATATGTAAGCTCACTCTTATCGTATCATTTTGCGAAAATAATTTTGTAGCCACGCTTTATGATTGCTTTCAATTGCCTTTGATTGGGCGCAGCGCAATCTTATGCATTTAACGATAATTTTCTATAATTGCCATGAAGCCCACTTTGAAGTGCCAGCAAGCGGTTGGAGGTGGATTCAGTGATTTCACACATTCCATTCGGCTATTTGAAAGAAAAAGAGGGTGTGGACACACAAAAATAGTACCTACTACTAGTAGCTGCATGCTTGCATACATAGATATGTATATATGTATGTATGTATGTATGTATGTATGCATTTCTTTTTTCTTTTAAACAAACTATTTTTTTGTTTCTTTTGTTTATACTTTGCTTACGCATTCTTGGCCTTTGACGTCGATACCTTCTACAAGATAAACCTGAACACTACACCTTCCAGCTTATTTTGTACTTATTTGTGTATGAATTTTTGTTTTGCAAGTAATGCCCCGTTGTGTGCCAGGTTCGCAAGTTATTGTTTGCATATCTATTTTTAACGATTACACTGCTATTTTTAAATAGTTAAATAGAATATTGCGAAGGGTTGTGTCCCGAGTTGAAGCAAAATGCAATTTCAAAGCAAAAGGCAATCAAATGCAAAAGAGTATTTAAAATTAAAAAGCAAAAAATACCACGAGCCCGGGCCCGGAGTTAAGTATGTATGTGCCCACAATGACAAGTTTTAGATGTAATCATTCAGAATATCTTCTAAAAAAAGAGGCAAAATTTAGAGTTTGATTTTTTTTACTAGAAAAAAAAAAAAAAAATTTCAAAGCGAAAGAGTGCGCAACTACTCCGCACTCAGTTGCCTGCTCCTTTCATCCATCACATTTCTTTTAAGTTTATCATAATTAAAAAAAAAAATAATAATTTTTCACAGTTAAACAAAAAATGTATTTTATTATCAATAAATTAAGTAACACTTGTCTTTTAGTATGTATGTACGTTCATATATCTGCTTGAATATGTTCCAACTAACAGCATTTCTCTCCTCATATTTGTTTAAGTACAATATTTTTCCTTCTAAAAAAAAACTACCAATAACAAAAATATAATGATTATTTTCCCTAACGACATATGTATAAAATTTGTGTTAAGCATAATTAATTAGAAATAAAGTTGCGTTTTTTTTTTGTTGCTGTCACTTAACTTAGTTAAATCATAGAACAACTTTTTGGCACTGGTGACTGGTGAATGAATTCGCGGCATCCTCTTCTTCTCTCCTCTCTCCTCTCCCCTCTCTCCCCTCCGCGCGCGAGTTCGATCAAATCGTTTGCTCTATGGAACCCTTCGACTTCTTTCGCTCGTTCACTTCGAAGCGATGCATAATCTTGGCGACAATGCGCGATGGCGGTATATCCGGGTTGCCGGTGAGTCCGCGATAGCCCAAGACACTGTGATCGGCAAGATTGTTGGCCAACTGCAGGCGACGTATGAAAGCCTCTGTGTCGATGCCGCGCACCTGTGACGGTTTGAGGAAACGTTTCGGTATGCGCGACAGAATATCCTCCGAACCGACCGGGCCAAAGCCTAAATTAATCAGAATGGCTTCGGGATCTGGCTTGCGCGCCTCCAACAAGCTATCCACACTCGAATAGCGGCTGGAGGACTCTGAGTGTGTGGAATTGTCGCGCTTCAACATGGTAAAATTGTGGCGACGCAGCAATGGACTGGCCGGACTGGTCGCCGTATCGGTGGTGTTTGTTGTGGTGGTGGTGGAGGAGTCAAACGATTCCTCATGCTTAAGGCGATGCTCACGTTGATGGTGGTGGTGGTGGTGGTGAAAGATGCTTACTGTAGCCGCGGATGCAAAGCAATTCGGCAACGATGACGGCTGACCATCGAAAGGTGTGCTGTGATGCTGTTGCTGAAAGTGATGCAGGCGTTTCTCTGTCACGTACGAGGGGGTGCTATGCAGCTCGGTGCCGCGCGGTGGACCGCCTATCAGTGATGTCGTATTAAATCTAACTGACGGCGGTGGCTGCGTCACCACCACCAACTCCTCTTCTTCATCCTCCTCTTCCAGATCGGCGGCATAAGCGAAATCGGCATCGTCCAGTTCGGTGGGTTTTTGACGCTGCAAACGTTTGCGACGCGGCAGACGATGAGGCGCGGCACTGGAGCGCAACTTTTCTCCACCACCGTTCAAGGGAGGCGGCGCACTTTGCGTCGACGAGCTTGATGCACTTATCGGACTAGCAGGTGTCAGTGGTGGTGGTGAGTTATGCTGCTGTTCGTGCTGACGTTGTAAGCGCGTCTGGCGTAGTTCGGTTGCCTTGCTATGATTAAATGTGACTTGCGCGTCAGCATTGTGGACATGCGCATTGTTATTGCTATCGTTGTTCATTTCATTGCTGTTGTTGTTGTTGTTGTTGTTGTCGTTGTCTTGGCTTTGTATTTCCTGATTGCAGCTGTACCAGATGGTGCGTTTCGTTTCCATTTTAGCTGGCTGCATGTTGGCTGTTTGTTGTCACAAAGGATTTGATTTGGTGCAATGTTTGAATTATTTGACGTTTTTTCTTTGTTTTTGTTTCTGTTTCTGTTTATGCTTATGTTTGTTTTGTATTGACTTTATTTGGTTGGCGGGCGGTCGCCAGTTGACCTTGCATGTGAAACCTGTTTGTGGCGGCGCTGCTGTCGCTGTTGCTGGCGTTTAAAGCTCCCTCCACTGATTCGCTGCTCGCTAGCTGAGTTGAGGGACATTAGCGGCCGCTGTTGTTGTTGTTGTCGAGCGCTAATTAGCTTCGCCTGTTGCAAGCGTCAATGTCGTTTGTTTAACCGTTGTTATGTGTATGCGATTTAGCAAAGTGTTTGTGTGTGCGCGGCGTGTTTTTTCCCAACTTTTTTTTATTCCAAATGATTTTATTTATTGTTTTTAATTGAATATTTTTTGCTTTGCTTTACAGCGCGTTCTAGCGGAGATGAATAAAAACAATAATATATATATGTATGTATGTATGTGTTAAGATGAAGTAGTTGTTTTTGTTTTCAGCCGCTAATTAGTGATTATAAGCCGTTTTAGCTGTCACTTGTCGCTGGAATTTTCCGCAATTTGTTTTGATAATAAGAATTCAGAATATTGTATATGTGCTAATAATGTTGCGACTTGGTTTTATAAACTTTTTGTTAATTTTTGTATGCTCTACTTTTGCGAATTTGTTATTCTACACTTTGCTTTTGTGTTATTTAATTACTTATTTTTCATTCGCTTAACTGCTTATATCACAGCTTGTCTCTGTAGTCTATATAGATACTAGTCGTGGATGCTGAACTATTGTGCGCCTTATGCCGCGTGCGTTGTCACAACGTGCTGCGGTCACGGCGACTTATTTTACCGCTTGGCTCAAACTCAGGTGCGCGCTCCCCGGCAACCCTTAGCCGTTAGCTCCAGTTCAAGCTGCAGGTGAGGAAGGGGCTTAATTTGAAATTTTCTCCAACTTAGTGCCTCGCTTGGCTGAATTTCTTTATTTGCGCGTTCGTTTGCGACTTGGCGCTTTACACCTCCGCACTCGACAGTTGCAGCTGTGTCACTAAGTCGATTTGTTATTGGGTTTTCAGAATTTTCACACTTGTGCCACCACACACCAGTTGCGCTTTAGTATTTTATTTCTCCCTTTTTACTTTTTTTTTCTTATTTAAGTATTTATTTACCTTTTTTGCACTTTCCCACTTGTTGCTCTTGCCTTCTGTTTTTCTATTTAATTAACGTCGTTTGAGCGTTAAACCTCCGAGCGCTCGGCAACCCTTTGCAGCGCTTTGCTTTTTTGCACTGACGCAAACTTTAAACGTTATCTCTATTCGCTAATTCGATAATTTTTCGCTTCTATTTTCAATACCTGGGTCTTTTTGTTGGCGTTGTTGTTGTTGCTCTTTTATGGCTTGTGTACAAGGCTTATTGCTGCGCGTTTTTGCCTTATTTGTTGATTCTCAATATTTTTCTTTATTTGCTTAGTGATATTTACATATATTCCATAATTTCCATATTTGTTTTTTGTCTTTCTCGTTTCACTTGCCGCACCCCGCCTCGCCGCTACTTCGTTATTTTGCACTTTGTACTATTGGTACTGGTTATTTTTGCCTTCAAAGTATTAATTTAGGTATTTAAGCTCGCGCTTGTGTGCCGTATTTACATTTGTCATTTAATGTCATTGATTACTCGTAATCAGCAAAAATATACATACATAGCTACACTCCCCTTTTTCAATTTCTTTATGGAATTTAAAATTATTGATTACGGTATTTTTTAACACATTTCCGCAACCCGAAACTGTACTGTAGTACTCGGTATTTATGCGAACGCTTTATTGCTTTTATAGTCTTGACTTTATTTTAATTATTTGCTTATTATTTTATTCCGTTTCCCCTTTCGCGTACTCTCTGTCGCCCCGTCGGTTTGTTTAAGTACGTTGGCGCGTTCAAGCGATCTTCAATGCTGTCTCAGTTCGACGACGATGTTTCCGTAGGTTCCAGTGTTTTCTTCTAAACGTCTACCAATGTACTGTTTATTGTTTGCGGCTGTTGCTGTTGCTCTTGCTGTGACCGCGACCGCAAAACCGCATTGGAGACGTAACGATCGGACAGCCAACCAGTCGAAATCATTACCATACCAATATATGTATGTTTGTATGTACATATGTACGTACGTGAGCGTGTTGTTTGTGCGAGACGAGCGCACGATCGGCTGAGCGACCAAACCCAACCGCTTTGTTGATCCAAATCGCTCCAGCTTTGAGCGCAGCTCAATCGCTTGCCGTACAGGTCCGCGTCCTATACTCCGTTTGTGCTTTTGTTGCTATTGCTGACAGGGCTGCCAACTTGGCTCATACCGTGCCAGTTTTGACCCTATTCTACTTATAATGGCACTTTTGAAAAATACTAGATAATATCGAGCCCTAACCGCCAAAATAATGTAAGCGACATTTTTTTAAAAATTTTATTTTTTATGCAGAAATATTCCTAGGGCATCTAAAATGTATTTCTGTATCCAAAAGAAAATGTTGAAAAAAATGGCGCTTACGTTATTTTGGCGGTTAGGGCTCGATATTTCAATACATTTTTGTGAAATCATTTCGAGCCCTAACCGCCAAAATAACGTAAGCGACATTTTTATTTTTTAATTTTATTTTTGATGCAGAAATATTCCTAGGGCATCTAAGATGTATTTCTGTATCCAAAAGAAAATGTTGGAAAAAATGGCGCTTACGTTATTTTGGCGGTTAGGGCTCGATTTGCTTGTACTTCTTTTTCTCAACTAAAACTTTCTTATTTCGATACGGTATACAACTGGTTTATCTTTTTTTCGGCATTCGACTCTGGTCTGGAATGTATTTCGAATTTTAATGCTAAATGCTAAGAATTTAAAAAAGGCATATTTTTTTGGCGTTTTTACTTTTCTATTTGGCACAATTTGACACTTTTCAATCCTCAATATGGCACTTCATAGCTAAGGATAGTTGGCAGCCCTGATTGCTGATCACCGATCAACGAAAGCTTTTTTTCTGTTTAAATTTTTCAATTTCTTACTCATAAAATTTTTAAGTCGAATTGTTATTTACCAGCTTTTTTATTGCCGTGGATTCAACGATCTACAGAGATCGAATGTCTGTCGTGTATTGTATTGTTGTTTTTGACGTACTTGTTTTTGTTTTCACGTGCTTTGGCGCTTTTGTTTAATTTCTCTTGCTTTTGTTGGTTTATGGCTCCTTCATGCAAATGTCGATAACTTGTTTTCCAGTATCTTGAAACTTGTCTGCGTTTGTTTTGTTTTTTTTTTTTAAGTTGGTTTGTAACACTTCTCCTCATTACTCTACGCTCTTTGATAGTTTGGCATTGGTTTTTCCCCCATTTCGGAGGAAGCCCCTCTCACCGTGCCACACTTGGGCTTATAATTTTTCTTTCTACAAACATATTTGGAAGTCGGAGCCGTCATGGCGTGTATGGCTACGCTTTGTTTGCCCTTTTTGTACCAAATTCGATATGGGGCTTTGGATTGGATGCCACCATAACTCGTTCGTTCTGTGCTCTTCGAAGAGAGTTATGCTAAGTGAGCTGCTTTTGTTACTGTTTTGTTGTTATGGAAAAATGTGTGTAATATGAGACTCGGCTTCGTTTTGCTTAGAGAAACCGAGTGCAGCTTTGTAAAAGAGTTGCATTTATTATATATGTAACGACACTTGAAGTGCCAGCTGAAGAAGGCGTTTTCTCTCCAGAATTGAGATTAGAAAACAAGTTTGCCGTCTCTTTGACAATGGAAAATCAATTTTCTTCCATCAAATTTTCTTGTATTAGTTTAGACCTTCTTAGAAAAAAGCTACTAACTCCACTTTTCCACTGACGAAAAGGGGGAAAATAACGCTACATGGTGGCGAAATTATTGAAAATAAAATCTACGAACTCCATAAACATTCATCTTTTTTTTTAATAAAAAACTGCTAACTCCATAAATACATCTATGATTTAGTACAAAGGACCTACAGAATATTCCACACGAATTTTCGATTGATTCTGGGCATACACGAGGACGATTTAAATTAATTTCTTCAAGAAAATTTACAACAAAAGCTTAGTACTAGGGCTTTCGATTGTTCGCCTTTTTCCAAAACCAGTTTTCGAGTTATTCGAAAAATTGAAATTTTATAAAAACTGGTTCGCCATTTTGAAATTAAGAAAATTCTCATGTTGGTATAAAGCCATGACCGAAAATTACATTAAAACTATTAACAGCAAATATAACTTTTATTAAGGAAAGAGCAAACCTAAATAAGTTCAAAGTTTTTTTTTAGATCAAAAGTAAAACAAATAAAAATCATTGAAAAATTCACATCTGATCTTATATTAATTTTATTTAGGCCCATGGTTGAATTTCTGGTCCCAGAAACATCAAAAAAAAGTTTTTGAAATAGCGGTCGCCTTTCGGCAGACAATGGCAAATGGCAATGAGTGTACTTCCGCCATAGAAAAGTTTCTTCGGAGGTGGAGTAAAAGTGTAGATCCCTCCGACATCAAGAAGTATAATCCGAATTGGAATCGACCAAATACGTAGAAAACGTTAAGGCGTCAAGCATTCATTATTGGAATCAAATATGATATAGGCTTGAGAACTTCTATTGACTTTTATAGAGCCATGAAGATTTGTATGAAATGAAAAAAAAAACCGGTTTGTTCAATAATAAAATCCGGTGTATTCGATATTCGAAAAATCAAAATTTCAAAAACACTTCCTGTAGGTATCCAAAAAACCGGTGGAAACCGGTTTCGAAAAACCAAGTCAATCGCTTTACAAAGTACTTTTTCAAGCAACATAAATAATTTTTTTTTAGATTATTTTTTTGAGAGCCTATACTAAGATCACGAAATTAAATTCAATAAATTCTACTTCCCGGTACAAAAAAAGAAGTGAAATATTATACTAGACTGGAGACGAGAGGAAGGTAGTTGAATTCCGAACCCCACTAGAAAGCGTCTATAAGTGACTAGCCATTCATTCATTGGCTTTGAAAGTATTACCATGTAACTACTTCTCTAACTAGTTTGCTAAATATATTGCATCTCATTTCCCTAGTGGGTTTGAAACAGCAAATTTCTCACATATCCATACATACATACATACATACAGAAATATACGAACATACGTAAATATGTACACTCACACTCCAAATTAGTGCCCACTTCACTTTTATAGTTTTAAATCAAAAGCAACTCATAAACGTTTTGAGGGATAAGCAACCATAATAAAAACCACAATTTTTACGACAATTAAAATGATAACAACAATTACATTTGATATGTACGAAATTGCGACAAAGGCGAGCACTTAAGTAGATCTTAAGTGGCTGCCACTAAGTTCATAGATAAGCTAAGGTGGGCATTATCAAAGTGTACATAGATAAATGGAACTAAATTGACTTGTTTTCGAAGAAATAAAAATACGAGTATTAGAAAATTCTTAAGAAAAATATAGTGATCGGGAAATGCAATACATTTAAACCTTCTTTGTACAAACCAATGATTCGGGATTGAATTGACACTTTTGATATATATCTTTGCAAATAATTTAATATTAGTAAAAAAAATCATCTAATTTTGGGCAATTAACTATTTTAGCATTTAATACCAAGTAATTTTAAATTGGTTGAAAAGAAACATACTGACTTTGAAGTGCTTAAAGCCAAATGAATTTTTAAGTAGTTGAAATCAAATTCAGAGTCGGGACTGTTAAAGTCAACAGTTCGTTCCCTGAAAGAAACTCAGATCTTCAACTAGTTGTGGTGGGTAAAAAACTGGTTGATATTTAAACTAGTTTCTTTCCGTACTGGGACGCCACTCGTCAAAAGTGAAGGTTGCATAAAATTAATTGTAAAAATTTTAATTGCATTTTTTTTTTAACTAAATAAAATGCAATAGCTACTTTCAACATCTGTTATGAGCTGCAAATACATACTTACAAGCATGCAATTTTCAAAAGTGTAATTAAGAATTCTATTTAATTTTCGTTTAAATGAAGTGTTTCTCTAACTAATTGATCGTATCGTAATAAAACTATTATTTTCAGTTATGCTAGAATCGCCACAGTTGATGTTTTCGCAGTTTATGCATGCAATTGTAATTTAATCTTAAAAAAAAAAAAATAAATAAATACTTAAATAACAGAGTTTTCACTTTTCTTTGGCAACTTAAATTGCTTATTGCATACATACATACACACATATTTGTTTACGTACATATTTAGGTATATAATATTTTTGTTTATAACTATTTATGCAGACTAGTTTGCACTTTATTTCGGCCAACTGCTTTATCGGAAAATGGGGTCAATTGTGTGTTTGGCCTCTAAGCTGCGCTATTTCGCTGATCTTTGCAAATTTTTGTTTACTTCTTCGAAAATTGCTTATTTTGATTGTTGTTGATTTCATAGCCATATTTTTGCTTTTGAGTGTAAACGGAAGCACATATAAATATATACTTATTAAACACATAGACTAAGTGAAATACATACATACATATCGTCGCTCGGCGTGCAAAACCGCGTATACGCAAAATGTCAAAAAAAAAAGTCTGCAAAGCGTATATTTTAAATAAATATTTAAATATTTTTTGGCCATTTAAAGACAGTAAATTTAAATTACTCTGAAATATGGATAAAATTTTGGGTCTTTGAAAAATCAGTAAAAAGATATATGTACAGTAAATATTGTGCAACGCCTTTTTTTTTTTGGTAAAAAGTGGACGTAGAAAACTGAAATTAAAAAATAGCTTGTGAAAAGGCAGCATGCATTCTGATGAAACACTGCCGATATATATTCAAGCAGTCATCTAACTGCGCAAAACCTGTCCTTGACAAGTGGCCACAGATCGAGGTGCAGCTTCCGGGCTTGGCGATGGAGAGCATATAAGCCAACACCGAAGGCTTGATAACTTGGTTCGATCCTAAAGTATCTATCAGAAAGATATTTTCGGATTCGGTTATTCACAATGAGGATGCACAGGGGAAAAATTGTTCTATAGCAACAAGAAGATTATCTCTACGAAAAGCTTCTGGACTAAGGAATAAAACAGACAAAGAAGGGAGAATATTCCATAGAGGGTCTTTAGAGATTTCATATAAAAATTCTTATTGAATTTAGAAAAATCTTAAAGATATTTTCTTACGTTTGTTCTATTTTATTAGGTGGTTTTCGCTCTGTATGAAGACGGCGGCAAAGCTGCTCTAATACTTGGGCATTATGAACCCTAAAGTTTGCATGGAAAGCTTAACTGAGGTTCGAGGGAACGAAAGATGATTCGCCGCAATAGAAAAACT